ACCAGAATAAACTTTTTCAGACTATTTTTAAGTACACCTTCCTTCTATAGTATAAGGTTGATACCTTACATAAACATTTTTCTAAAGATTTTGAGTTTTGGGGGTCATTTTTTATGGGAAAATGTATCAAAAGTCGCATAATTTTTTAGCATTTTACCAACTTTCAGCTATTCCAACTCATGACCACATGTACTTTGATGAGCTCTTTTAGATTAGATATAAAATAGAAAAAATCTAATAGAGAAGTTTTCTTATTTTATGTGTGAGGGGTCATCCAAAAGATTACAGAGAGAAGTTGAAGTCTGCGGTTGTTTTTTTTTTTCTCCAAATGTCTAAAAAAAGCATGGGGCTTTTTAGAAGTGTTTCTTTTGAAAACGGGAAAGAAATATTAATCCCACAGAGGCAACTCTGTATTTTTCTTCTCTAATAAGGTTGGAAGGAAGTCTTTCTTTTGAGAAGGGGAAGATTATATTAATCCGGTGACCTATATTTTTTAATACTCTTTTTCCCAAATCCTCAAGATAAGACGACTTGGAATGAATTCTTTTAATTACTTGCATGGGGGTTTTATTTGTGGTGCCTCTTGGTTTTTTTCTTCTCTTGAATGGTTTTTCACACAAATCTTGGTGTTATGTTGGTTTCTAATTTTATGCAAATTTTTTATATTATTATTTATTTGAGGTTTGATGTTTTTATTTTATTCAAAGCACAACTTCCCATCAGTTAGCATATTTTGATGAATTTCCCTTACGTTGTAACTCTTTCACAATATTTATGCTTCCATTTCAACTGAGCAAGTAGGCATCATTTGCCGATATGCACTGTAGATTCTAGGCTTTGATAACATTTCATAAGTAGTAAAGTAATTGCTCCTTTCAAATAAATTAAATAATTATAAAAATAGGCAATAACTCATCATCAACCATTGTTACATTAATATAGACTGTGTTTGTACATGAAACTATGAGTTCCAAAGAAGCAGCATGAGTGTGGTGGAAATACTTTTTGAAAAAGGAAATTCATCAAATTATCCACAAAAAAGAAACAATTTACAATTTAACGCTTTACTGGCCTTTGACTTAGTTTAAAAATACCCATAAAAAACACGTGATTTTGAGTTTGAATAATTATTAATTGTTAGATATTAAATACTCATGAGTATTTCGATAAATTTGAAATTTAATGTCTTCATAATTGGCAAAATCTCAAATGGGAGTTTTTTGTGTTTTTTTTTGGCGTGAATGAGTTTTGTGTCTTTGTTTTCCATATATCGTGGATTCAAATTTCCACAGTGGATTTATTCATCTAAGACTGATCATTTGCTTGTACACCTTAGCCTCATTTCACAAATACGTTGAAATACATATATATATATATATATATATATATATATATAAGAGAAAAAAGAAGAAGAAGAGAGATAACATACGTTGTTCTTATTTACAAAACCAACAGATTATATGAAGCATGTCTTTTAGTCCCAGTAACTAAATCATATCAAAGGACGCGTTTGGATGCATATCTTGTCATTGATAATTCTTTGTTTCAATAAAATTAATTCTGATGATAAATTATCTGTTGATTGGTAGCGTCCATTATAATGCTATCTAAGATTCACATATAATTTTATCTTTTTGGAAAGTTATTTTTAATTTATTCCAAGTAATTTGTTAAAAATCATATATTTGTAGCCATAAAAATAGCTGAAAATTGCCAAAAAAATTAAATAATTATGTAATATTATACATGCACCTGAAATAGATAATAAAATTATATTATCCAAAGTATATAACTTTTAAAAAAGAAAGTATTTCTATCTAAAATGAATTAATATGCATAGGAGTATGGTTAGGACCACGAAGAGATATGGCATTCTCAGCCTACTGACTAACCTCAAAAATAAAAGAACTTCATTAATAATCATTAGGAATGAAGCCTAGGCTTGAGTGGTAGAGAGAGATAGAGGGATAAAGGACCCAATGAGAGAGAAAAAGATACTATGAGATAGAGGAGTTAGAGAGAGAAATAACATGATTAGATAAAGAGAGGAGTTAGAGAGAGAACAACGACACTTAGAGTGAGGATTAAGGGAGAGAAACGTAGAGAGAAAGATCATGGAGGAGAGAGAGAAATGCCTAGCGAGAGAACTGACATTTAGAGAGAGAACTGACATTTAGAGAGAGAAAAGGTATAGTTAGAGATAGGAAAGACATGGTTAGATAAAGAGAGAAAGCATGGTTAAAGCGATGAGTTAGAGAGAGAAAAAGCAAGCCAAAGAGGTTAACTTCCTAAAAATCTAATTTTCAAATGTATGCCAAGTGTTTAAGAATTTAAAATCTATTTTTCTTCCTTTCTAAAAAATACTATTGTGCCTCAAAATTTTAGACCGTGAAAATACTTATGCTTAGGTTCTTTCCCTCAGGATCGAAGGAACAATTATATAATGTGCTCCCATGGGAGCAAGCGGTGCACACACACAAAAGTGGAGAGCATCATTCAACCAAGTGCAAACTTGACATTTTCTTACATTATTTAAAGCTACACACATTGATCACAAAAATGGTAGCTAAAACGTGGTCTACCTACAAATAATTCCATCTTTTAACCTGCCTTCACTTATGGAACTGGTATTTATCGATCTTAACAACAAATAATTTCGTACAACAAACATTATTACAAGCCACCACAAAAGGACATACTTATTTTTCTCCCATGGTTTTATCCAATAAAAGTTTGTGCTTTTCTATTGTATTTTGGCCAAAATTTAGCAGTGGCCTAAAACTTCAATTGAGGTTGTAATCAAGACTGAATTAAGCCATTGACCCAAAAAAAGAAAATCTTAAATTAAATCCAATCCACAATTTATTCTCTACCCCCAAAAGGTTTTTATACTCCCAGGGGAATATATTGCATATTTACTCCCTTGGGTAAAACCTAATATAGGAGTAATTTAGGACCCCAATTTTTGAGGATGTAACCTCCTCAACCCAGAGATTAACCTCAGTTTAAAAAAAAAGAGTGGAAAAATTCGAATTGAATTCTTTACATAATAAAAAATAATAATATATCTCAAAGTTGAAACTGTCCAATTTTTGAAGAGTAGAGATCTAAGTTATAAAATATTCAAAATTCAATTTTTATTTTTTTTTTAAAGAATCATCCGGTGATCTTTAGGTGCTTCCCAAAATCTCAGACAGGATAAATCTCCCAAGTAGGTCTTTTGACTTGAGGTAGTTGATGTACAATATGCTCCTAAGGACAATAGTATACATTCTGTAGTCTCTCTTTCAGCATTCAAATGAGAATTATGAAACAAGTATAAAATAAAAAGTTTATACAAGGCGTCAGTATTATATTATAAGACTAGAAATTGTTCCACTACGGAAAAATTCTGCAATTGAACATAAAAAAAATATTTTGAAGTAATAAAAATAATACATTTTGAAGATTCTCAAACGTCTAAACCTCTCCCAAATGTGCACTATTTTTTAAGTGTTAAAATCTTATAAATACCAATGGTTATAGATTTGGGGCTTCTTTGGGGATAAATATAGGATGAAGTTTGAATATGAAAACTAAACTAAGCCTCACCTTAAATCCTTGTTTGGAAAGCACTTTCGGCCATATAAATCTTCATGATGTCTTTAAAATCAATTTTCAGTACGGACAATAAAACTTGAAATTCAAAAAGTCATATAGATCTTGTAGATCTTTGAACACTCATTTCCAGCGTGCAATGGGTGGTCTAGATAATTTGATAAAATATACACTATTTTTTAGAGTTTGAAATTTTAATTTTTTTCACCACCATAATGTTCAAGTCAAAATAATTGATGTCATGGTTTTCCAATGCTTGAATTACAATTTTCAGTGAGTCCTTAAGTGAGGTTATACTTATTTTGTAGCCCTATCAAACCATTTCCTTAAATGTAAGATCACTGAAATTACATTTTCGGACGGGTCTGGAGATGTGTCACCCTTAGTTATTTAGTATTAATGCCTTATATGAACCGCACCCTTACCAATATTCGTAATTGAAATTGTGGCAATGACCTGAAGTTGTGCTAACTTGGAGTAAAATTAGAATTAAACCCAACATTCAAAATAATAATAATAATAATAATATTTAAACCCGATCCAAAATTTATTCTTTTTTTAAATTAAACCCAATCCAAAATTTATTCTCTCTTTTTTTTTTAACAATCTTACGAAATCCAAAATTTATTCTCTCTTTACTACTTACCAAATGAGAAAAAAGAAAAGCAAATTTCTCATCTCATTATTTTTAAGAAAAAGAAAAAGCAAAATATCTCATATCAGATTTCGTGATTAGGTACATTTTCAAATTAATTCGACTTTCTCTCAACCTTTTTGCCTCACCCTCTCTCTGTCGCTACCTTTTGTATTCAGAGTTTAAAACTCTCTCTCTCTCTCTCTCTCTCTCTCTCTACATCTCTTTACGGGAAGAACTATGAAGAACTTTGTTTCGTTCAATGCGCCCTCTCTATATACAAACGGGTGGGGTTTGTATATAAGGTATCGACCTTATACTATTAAAGTACTGTGCATCTCAAAACTTTGCTTAAAATGCATCTATGCTTAAAATGCATTTTTGGTACCAAATAGCTTTTTTTTTTTTTTTTTGCTGAAAGTCTATTGTTGTTTCCAACGGTGAAATTTAAAAATGACGACCATCAAGCACATTGATAAATACTTGAAAATGGACAGTCCAGATAATATGCTACAAGATTAACTATGTTTAGAAATAAAAATCCCCTTTTTTTTATGTTTATGAATCTTGAAGTCGAGATGATTAATTTGAAGGCTTTCCATCATAGAACAACCTCCTCTATTGAGCGTTTTAGGTGCACCTTACTAGTACAGTGTAAGGTTGACACCTTATATAAATTTTTTCCTATAAAATCTTCTCTCTCTAAAATTATCCTTTCTCACTCTTCAATCAATTAATCTCCTTATCTAAAACTTTGCCTTCATTCAAGGTCCGCGCTTTTGCCTTTTCTACTCTTTTTAGTTCTTACTAGACCTTCTTTCTCTCTCTACCTGCCCTTTCTCTCTCTCTTAGCTGTTCCACAAAAGGGTATTTGTTCGTCTATTCCATGAACAAGCCCGAGCGCAATCTTCTGCATTTCATTTGAAGAAAATTCGTGTAAGATTGATCAATTTCTAAATCTTTTTTTTTTTTTCCTTCTCTCTCTAGGTTTCGGTGAATTAATTTCCCTGCGCTTTGATAGAAATCTGCATTCAGCGATTCATACACGGTTCTTTGATGACCATAGACTGTAAACCCTATCTTTTGACTGTCTGTAAAGAAGTTTTACACAGGAAACCACAAATGACAAAGACTGCCATTTTGTCTGCAAGCTTCTGCTATCTCAATAATGGTGGGCTGGAAACTTAGGGAGAGAAATTCCTGGTTTAGGTTTTGTTGATTGGGGCAAAGAGGTGGGTTTTCGCAGCTAAATATTTCCATATTTTTCTGAAGCTTGTGTTAATTTACCACTGAAACTGGCCGTTTAATGTTGAATTTGGGGCTTCTTTTGGCTGGGAATTCTATTTTGGGAAGTTTCAGGCATTGGATTATGGCATTTGTTGTTCTAGGTTTTCTCTCACATGGTTAATTTCCAGAAGGTGATACGGAGTGTAAATGGTTTGACGACATTCAATGTTTTCAAGCTCTGTTTAAGTTTCAGACTGTGAAATTGTTGACAAAATGTTGCAGAATTTGTAGATTGAAGATGAAATTTGGCATTTAGAGTTTTATCCTCAATATAAGCCGCCAAAATAGACCAGTTTTGTTGTTTGAGATATCACAAGACTAGGAATTGTATCAAAATTGGCTTTTTAATCTTTGAGTTTTTCAGAATAGGGATCAAATTGAAAGATAATGTGTATACTCTGTGTTGTTCGAAAGTGGGCTCGTAGAGCTGCCACTATCTTACCGTGGTTGGTGATACCTCTCTTTGTTCTATGGGCTCTCTCTCAACTCTTTCCTCCTGGTTTTAGACTTGAAGCTACCTCACCCCAGGTTACCTGTTTTTCTGTCCTTCTTATCTCCCTATTTTGGTACGAAATCTTAATGCCTAAGCTCTTGACTTGGAGAGCCCGTAGGAATGCTTTTCTTAGAGAGAGAAAGAGAATTGAAGCAATTGAAATGCAAAAGCTTCGGAAAACTGCAATAAGAAGGTGTAGGAATTGCTTAACTGCTTATAGAGAGCAAAACCCAGTCGGTGGAAAATACATGTGTTCGTATTGTGGCCATATATCTCGTAGGCCTGTGCTTGATATACCAGGAGGTGGGATTTCAGGAGGTCGAGGCTTGGAGGGGATGGTTGGTTCAGGGATTATCAGTGATTTAGTGGGGAAAACTGGTAAAATTTGGAGTGAGAAGGTTGGGCTTGAAAGGCCTAGATGGGGTTGTGGAAATGGTTGGGATTGTTCAGAAAATGATGGTTGGATCTTGGGAAGAAATGGTGGGTCTTTTTTGGCCAGTGAAGAACCATGTTTAGCTGAAAATTCTTACTGTGGTTTTGTTATTTTTGTTTGTAGATTATTGGGTTTTTTCTCTCTCATCTTAAAATGGCTTTGGAGGAAGGTTTTGAGGATGGGTTCAGTGGGTGAAGAGGTTTCCATGGATGGGGAGCGAAGGTCACAGTATAGGAAGGGTGAGACAGGACCGAACATTCAGGAGAGCAAGGGGGAAAAGGCGAAAAGAAAAGCTGAAGAGAAGAGATTGGCTAGGTTAGGGAAAGAAATGCTAGAGGAAGAAGAAAGGAAACAGAGAGAGGAGGTTGCAAGGCTTGTTGAGGAACAGAGGCGGTTGAGGGATGATCAATTAGAGGCAATAAAGGCAAGGGAGCGGGCGTCAGCCATGGAGAGGGAAAGAGAGGTTAGGAGAGAGAGAGAGGCAGAAAAGAGGCGACTGGCAAAAACAAAGGACAAAGACAAGGACAAGGGCTCATTCAACTCAGATGGGGAGGATATTGAGAAGAGGGCCATCAAAGAAAGCGAGAAAAAGTGTGAGTATGATAAAAAGAGTGACATTGAAAGGAGAGATGTAACAAAATCAACAGAAAACCCTAGACCTCATGGTTCAGAAATGGGTCATGGATCGAAAGGCTTTACAGGCAATGCTAGCAAAGTTGGTGGTTCTCAATATCTTGACAGAGTGAAAGGTTCCTTTCTTGCTCCCTCAAGAGCTTCAAGTGGTAGTACTGTTACATCATTCTTTAAAAAGGGCTTCGAGACCTCTACTGGTTCTTCTACAAAAGTGAGTAAACATGTAGGATCCTTGGAATACATGCAGAATACTGCTATTAATGGTTCTCCACCTTTACATTCAAAGAAACCCTCCTCTTCTGCTTGGAATGGGATGGCTTGGACAAAAGTTTGGGGCAAAGGAATGGGGTTTGGAAGTGATGCTCATCCTAAAGAACGAAAAATTTCTAGCTCTGCTTCTGGAGATGCTCTCTTTTGTGGGCAGAGAATGGGGAACTCTATTTCTGATGGGGATTACAAGAATGCTGAGACCGTAAGATTACCTGTAAGTTGCCACTTTCTGGTCTTCTTTTTTCTATATTTTCTTAAGATATTCATCAGTTTATTGAAATGGACGCTTAGCATTGTTTGAGTTGAAGATTAGTTTCTTGTGCTTGCAATTTCTGCATGGGAAATTTCTATGAGCCATCAAATGTGAAAACTGGAATTGCAACACATTGAAATTTCGGTTGCTCTGGTGTTACCAACACATACAGATACTAGATACTTAGCATTCATTGAAGTTTATTATGAATAGCATGCATCCAATTTTCTTGGAATGGAATCATACATGGGTATCTGCAAATGTACAAATAGAGCATCCATAGAGTGGGAAATAATAACCAGAGGATCCTTCCCCTCACCTTCTCTTTTCGGGGAGTCAACCGCCGATAGGCCTCTCTAAGGATATTGCGCTTGAGAACCTCGCTCATTGTCTATATTGTGGCTGTGACTTCTCCTCCCTTCAGTTGGCATGGTTTATATATCTATCATCCTAACAGTTTCATTTAGCTACTCCACTCCACCTCTTGATAGTGAATTGAGACTCTTCCATCATTGGCTATTCTACCTTCATTTGCGGCCATACAAGGATGGTCACATTCCATGCTATAATTGACAGTTCAATGGCCTTAGTTCATCTGAGGTGATGGTGCTGCCCATTATAGTCCTATTCAGGTTCATGCATACGTCCACGGTCTGATTCCCACATCCATTACTAAGTTAGAAATGCATAGGGAGGCGTAGAGCATAACATCCATGCAATTGGGTTTTAAACACTGAAGTGGGTTCTTCAGATATTTAGGACAAGTTTCTTGAGTTGGAGATTAAGAGAATTTTAAATTTAGCTCATGCTACTGTTTGGGTGTGTTTTTGTAACATAATCCAGACAAGAGTTGCAATATCAGAAATAATCATATGTTGCTTAACTCTGGAAGTCATGATAACAACTTTTGAATGGATTGAAACTTTAGATATACCTTCAAAATCTCATTACAAGCGTATAGACCAAAATCATAAACTTTAGAGACCGTTTTAGGGGCTACGAATGTTTGCTGCAAGCTAAACCTCTGAATAGTGTCCTCACAATGAACTTCAAAAGTGGAGTAAATGGTGTCTGTTTGATCCGGAACTTGGTGCTGTGTTTTAAAAAGGTGATTTAGGCTTGCTATCCCAATTTCACAGGATTTGGACCCTGTTTGCTAATGATGCAAATGTTTGCTGCAATCTACTATGCGGATGAGCCACTCTGTTGTATCTTGAGCAGTCTTGTCAAAAATGCATTGCAGCAAGCTTAGAAAGGAGACCTCCGCTTAAGATGAGTTTTTTTAGGTAAATAGAGAAATGCCGTGGAAACATACATTTAAAATTTCATCCATTTTGGACATGGATAGAGGGTTCAAAATAAAATACATTCCTGTCAATTTCGAACTGCAGACTACAATTTTTGAGAAATGCAAGCTAGTTTATTTTTTTAGACTATGTTATCCATCTCCAATCAAGATGACTTTTTTTTGGTAGATAGGGGAATGCCTTAGGAACCTACAGTTAAAATCTCATGTAATTTGGACACCGACAAGGGGTCCAAATAAATCGCTTGATTGCTACACAGGCATCTTTCTAGCCATTAGATTTTAGTTTTTGAGATAAGTGCATGGAGATCACCAGAAACTCGGTTACAAGTAAACCTATTTTTCTTTATATTTCCTACCCAAGATTTTAGAGAGAGAAAATATTGTTTTCTTTTCTCTCCCCCTCATTCTATCCTCTGTATGCAGAAGTTTTCTCCTATTATACCTGTTTTTTTCTTTCCCTTTATTGAATCTAGAAAGGAGCTGTGAGATGGATTGGAGGTTTATATATATATATATATATATATATATAT